TGGAACATCTTCGCCGGTTAGAAACATTTCGGCTGGCCTGCCTACGATCCATCCTGGGTTTAACCTGACTGGATTGTGTGAGGAGCTCACAAATCCTTGAAACATCTGGGCAGGGTCCCATTGGTGAGCTCCTCCGGCAGGCAAGGCTGCGTTGGCTGGGTCATGTAGCCCGCATGCCCAGCCACCGCATGCCGAAACAGCTTTTGTTTGGCCGGATCGAGGGGGCAAAACGGGTGCGGCACGGGCTAGAGAAGAGATGGAGTGATGTGGTACAGGAGGACGTGGAGCTGAGTGGTCTTGCCGATGACTGGTACCAGCGGTGTCAAGATCGGCCTCTGTGGAGGAGGCTCGTGAAGGACGCTATGGGCAGTTGGAGGCAGTCGCCCTCCAACAACAACGGAGGGCGGAGGAGCGACGCTCACAACAACGAGCGGAGCGCCGGGTGGCTAAAGCACAGCAGGTTGCCACAGTAGGGGGCACAGGTGGTGCATCAGCCAGTCATCTCAGTCATCTCAGTCAGTCGACCCGTGGCACCTGCTGGGTCTGCCCCGTGACCTCCTGCCAGCGGGCGTTCGACACTCCACGTGGCCTCATGGTGCACATAGCCTGGCACAAGCGTCGTGGTGACGTCACCGCCACTTAGTGGCGAATGGCGGTTGTTGTTGTTGTTGTGTGTATGTGTGTCTGTGTGTGTATCTGTGTGTGTGTCTGTGTGTGTGTCTGTGTGTGTGTCTCTGTGTGTGTGACTGACTGTGTGTGACTGACTGTGTGTGTGTGTCTGTGTGTTTGTGTGTGTCTGTGTGTGTGACTGACTGTGTGTGTCTGACTGTGTCTGTGTGTGTATCTGTGTGTGTGTATCTGTGTGTGTCTGTGTGTGTGTATCTGTGTGTGTGTGTGTCTGTGTGTGTGTCTATGTGTGTGTGTGTGTGTTTGTGTGTGTCTGTGTGCGTGACTGACTGTGTGTGTCTGACTGTGTCTGTGTGTGTAGCTCACCAAGAACGCCTACCTACAGCAGATGCTACAGCTCTATCAGAACCCCAACTGGGTTGATGAAAACTCCAGATTCAACTACGAAGGGGTCACAGCCGTGTGGGATCGCACCATGTTCAACGTACGCTCACCACCACTCACCCAGCCACTCACCCACTAACTCACCCACTCACTCACTCACCACCCACTCACTCAACCACTCACTCACTCACTCACCCACTCACTCAACCACTCACCACCCACCCACTAAACCACTCACTCACTCACCACCCACTCACTCACCACCCACTCACTCACCACCCACTCACTCACCAACCACTCACCAACCACTCACTCACTCACCACCCACTCACTCACCAACCACTCACCCAACCACTCACTCACTCACCAACCACTCACTCACCCACTCACCCACTCACCACCCACTCACTCACCCACTCACCCACTCACCACCCACTCACCAACCACTCACTCAACCACCCACCCACCCACTCACTCACCCACTCACCCAGCCACTCACTCACCACCCACTCACTCACTCACCCACTCACTCACCCAGCCACTCACTCACTCACTCACCCACTCACTCAACCACTCACCACCCACTCACCACCCACTCACCCAGCCACTCACTCACTCACTCAACCACTCACCCACTCACCACCCACTCACTCAACCACTCACTCACTCACCACCCACTCACTCACCTACTCACCCAGCCACTCACTCACCCACTCACCACCCACTCACTCACTCACCACCCACTCACTCAACCACTCACTCACTCACCACCCACTCACTCACCCACTCACCCACTCACTCAACCACTCACCCACCCACTCACTCACTCACCACCCACTCACTCACCACCCACTCACTCACCACCCACTCACTCACCACCCACTCACTCACCACCCACTCACTCACCACCCACTCACTCACCTACTCACCCAGCCACTCACTCAACCACTCACTCAACCACTCACTCAACCACTCACTCAACCACTCACTCACTCAACCACTCACTCACCCACCCACTCACTCACCCACTCACCCAGCCACTCACTCACTCACCCACTCACTCACCCACTCACTCACCCACCCACTCACTCACCCACTCACTCACCCACCCACTCACTCACCACCCACTCACTCACCCACTCACTTACCCACTCACTCACTCACCCACTCACTCACTCACCCACCCACTCACTCACTCACCCACTCACCCACTCACTCACTCACCCACTCACCCACTCACCCACTCACTCACTCACTCACCCACTCAATCACTCATTCACCCACTCACTCACTAACCCACTCACTAACCCACTCACTCACTCACTCACCCAGCCACTCACCCACTCACCCAGCCACTCACTCACTCACCCACTCACTCACCCACTCACTCACCCAGCCACTCACCACCCACTCACTCACCAACCACTCACTCACCCAGCCACTCACTCACTCAACCACTCACTCACTCACTCACCCACTCACTCACCCACTCACCCTGCCACTCACCCACTCACTCACCCACCCACCCACTCACCCACTCACCAACCACTCACTCAACCACTCACTCACTCACTCACCCACTCACTCACTCACCACCCACTCACTAAACCACTCACCCAGCTACTCACTCACCCACCCACTCACTCAACCACCCACTCACTCACCCACTCACTCACCCACTGACTCACCCACTGACTCACCCACTCACCACCCACTCACTCAACCACTCACCCACTCACCACCCACTCACTCAACCACTCACCCACTCACTCAACCACTCACCACCCACTCACTCAACCACTCACCCACTCACCACCCACTCACCCAGCCACTCACTCACTCACCCACTCACTCACTCACTCACTAAACCACTCACTCACACACTCACTCACTCACTAAACCACTCACTCACACACTCACTCACCCACTCACTCACCCACTCACTCAACCACTCACCCAGCCACTCACCCACTCACTCAACCACTCACCCACTCACCACCCACTCACCACCCACTCACTCAACCACTCACCCACTCACTCACTCACCCACTCACTCACTCACCCACTCACTCACTCACCCACTCACTCACCCACCCACTCACTCACTCACTCACCCACTCACTCACCCTCTCACTCACCCACTCACTCACCCTCTCACCCACTCACCCACTCACCCTCTCACCCACTCACCCAGCCACTCACCCACTCACCCACTCTCTCACTCACTCACCCACTCACCCACTCTCTCACTCACTCACCCACTCTCTCACTCACTCACCCACCCACTCACTCACCCACTCACTCACTCACCACCCACTCACCCAGCCACTCACTCACTCACCCACTCACTCACTCACCCACCCACCCACTCACTCACCCACTCACTCACCCACTCACTCACTCACCCACTCACCGACTCACCCAGCCACTCACCCACTCACCCACTCTCTCACTCACTCACCCACTCACCCACTCACCCACTCTCTCACTCACTCACCCACTCACTCACTCTCTCACTCACTCACCCACTCACTCACTCACCCACTCACCCAGCCACTCACTCACCCACTCACCCTGCCACTCACTCACCCACTCACCCACTCACTCACCCACTCACTCACTCACTCACCCACTCACTCACCCACTCACTCACCCACTCACTCACCCACTCACTCACTCAACCACTCACCCACTCACCCACTCACTCACTCACCCACTCACTCACCCAGCCACTCACCCACTCACTCACCCACTCACTCACCCACTCACTCACTCACCCACTCACCCAGCCACTCACTCACCCACTCACCCAGCCACTCACTCACCCACTCACTCACTCACTCACCCACTCACTCACTCACCCACTCACCCAGCCACTCACTCACCCACTCACCCGGCCACTCACTCACCCACTCACCCACTCACTCACTCACTCACCCACTCACTCACCCACTCACTCACCCACTCACTCACTCACCCAGCCACTCACTCACCCACTCACTCACTCACCCACTCACTAACTCACCCACCCACTCACCCACCCACTCACTCACCCACTCACTCACCCACTCACTCACCCACTCACCCACCCACCCACTCACCCACTCACTCACTCACTCACTCACCCACCCACCCCCCCCACCCACTAACTCACCCACCCACTAACTCACCCACCCACTAACTCACTCACCCACCCACCACTGTCTCTCCACAGTATCAGTGCTGTGGAGTGAATGGCCCCCAGGACTGGCAGGCCTACGGCTCGGCCTTCCGAGAGGCCCACTCACTCACTCACTAACTCACCCACTAACTCACTCACTCACCCACTCACTCACCCACTCACTCACTAACTCACTCACCCACTAACTCACTCACTCACTCACCCACTCACTCACTAACTCACTCACCCACTCACTCACTAACTCACTCACCCACTAACTCACCCACCCACTCACTCACTCACTCACTAACTCACCACCCACTCACTCACTCACTCACTCACCCACTCACTCACTCACTCACCCACTCACTCACTAACTCACCCACTCACTCACCCACTCACTCACTCACTCACCCACTCACTCACCCACTCACTCACCCACTCACTCACTCACTCACCCACTCACTCACCCACTCACTCACTAACTCACTCACCCACTAACTCACTCACTCACTCACCCACTCACTCACTAACTCACTCACCCACTCACTCACTAACTCACTCACCCACTAACTCACCCACCCACTCACTCACTCACTCACTAACTCACCCACCCACTCACTCACTCACTCACCCACTCACTCACTCACTCACCCACTCACTCACTAACTCACCCACTCACTCACCCACTCACTCACTCACTCACCCACTCACTCACCCACTCACTCACCCACTAACTCACTTACCCACCCACCCACCCACTCACCCACTCACTCACCCACTCACTCACTCACCCACTAACTCACCCACCCACCCACCCACTCACTAACCCACTCACTCACTCACCCACCCACTCACTCACTCACTCACCCACCCACCCACTCACTAACCCACCCACCCACCCACTCACCCACTCACTCACCCACTCACTCACTCACCCACTAACTCACCCACTCACTCACCCACTAACTCACCCACCCACTCACCCACCCACTCACTCACTGACCCTCTCACTCATTCACCCACTCACCCACTCACTCACCCACTCACTCACCCACTCACCCACCCACTCACTCACTGACCCTCTCACTCATTCACCCACTCACCCACTAACTCACCCACTCACCCACTCACTCACTCACTAACTCACCCACCCACCCACTAACTCACTCAATCACCCACCCACTAACTCACCCACCCACCCACCCACTCACCCACTCACTCACTCACCCACCCACCCACTCACCCACTCACCCACCCACCCACTCACTCACTCACCCACCCACCCACCCACCCACCCACTAACTCACCCACCCACCCACCCACCCACTAACTCACCCACCCACCCACCTTTGTCTCTCCACAGTATCAGTGCTGTGGAGTGAATGGCCCCCAGGACTGGCAGGCCTACGGCTCGGCCTTCCGAGAGGCTCACCCACTCACTCACTAACTCACCCACTCACTCACCCACTCACTCACTCACCCACTAACTCACCCACCCACCCACTCACTAACCCACTCACTCACTCACCCACCCACTCACTCACTCACTCACCCACCCACCCACTCACTAACCCACCCACCCACCCACTCACCCACTCACTCACCCACTCACTCACTCACCCACTAACTCACCCACTAACTCACCCACTAACTCACCCACCCACTCACCCACCCACTCACTCACTGACCCTCTCACTCATTCACCCACTCACCCACTCACTCACCCACTCACTCACCCACTCACCCACCCACTCACTCACTGACCCTCTCACTCATTCACCCACTCACCCACTAACTCACCCACTCACCCACTCACTCACTCACTAACTCACCCACCCACCCACTAACTCACTCAATCACCCACCCACTAACTCACCCACCCACCCACCCACTCACCCACTCACCCACCCACTCACTCACCCACTCACCCACCCACC